CAGGGATTAATACTGTGTTATTTCCGTGTGGGCGTAATTGGTTTAAGGGCCAGGACCATAAAAACCGTGCGGGATCGAAACCGAAATAATTTTACGGGACTGGGACCGGAACCGGGACCGAAACAACTGCAGGGACCGGGACCGAAACAAGTTTACGGGACTGGGACCGAGACGGGGCCGAAACAACTGCACGGGACCGGGACTGGAACCAGGACCAAAAATCATCGGTCCCGCCCATATCTAGGTAAAACATAACTGTACTATACTCGAAGATAAGAGGGAAAGAAAAAAGCACGCTATACAAAAATCAATCTTAACTCTCGGATATTTTACCACGATCACAATTTATTCATGTTTTTTGTCCACTAATAATAATTGAGTCACGCTACTCTTACCACGAACGTGGATGAATCGTGATTCGGAAACTTGCGACGCGGCTACGCGAGGCTTAGTTTAGTCAGGGCGCGATCCCTTTTTTTGGACTACCGCCATTATCCATTTCTGATAGTGACTAATTGCTAAAATGTGAGAAGATTTTGAAAATTTTTCGAAAATCAGTATGAGTTATATACTAGACGTCTAAGCAAAATAAAATGATGGATAAAGTTTGTACCCAAGTGGCGCCCTGATCTTCCTAGGACGTCGAAAACAGTGTAACTAATTGTCTATTAAATGCCAGTTAATAGCTAATGAATAGGCATTAAATGATCATTTTTACACTGTATAAATGGGAACGTTTTAATACCTTAAAATGACATTTTTTAACAGACTGAAAACTGTCTGAAAATAGGCAGTTAATAGCATCAGGTAATGGTGGATTTTGCACCATTGCTGGCTAGTCATCGAACGTTTTCTTTGAATAATTTTTTTGATTAGTATCCCAAATCTAATAATTTCGAAAACTTTTAACATTTTTGGTTCCTTAGATCTACGATGGCACCAGAACCAGCGCCGACTTCCACAAGACAAGTTTCGATTACTCGTATTTCAGTGATATTTATACACATAGTATATATAGTATCTTATATACATATAAGAGTTGCGTGACTCATTTATTATCAGCGGACGAAAAACACGGTAAAGTATTCGAGAGGTAAGATTGATTTTTGTAAGAGTGCGAGAAAATCGCGACCACTAAAAACCGCGTCTTATTTATGAATCGAGATTTTTCCACTTGGCGGCCCGCTAGATTCTTTTGTTTAGATTATACGGCATGCTTCAGAACAATCTGCTAATATGTTGGAACAGTTACAGTTGTATATACAATATTGGACGTATTTAATGTAATGCTTTATTTCTGACTCGATACTTGTCTTTCTGTCCACAAACCTATTCTCAATGTGTAAAAGAGTTTAGACTTTTTCCTGTACAATTTATCGTCTGTTATGTAGCATGCACACCTTTGATAATCAGAAATAACACTACTAATTTGAAACTAATTTGTCGTAGCAAATAATTTAATATTAACTTATGTTTTTAGCATCTGCATTTAGTGATGGTAGGGTTGTTGTTAAAGAAAAGAATTATTTTGCACCAAAGTCCTTTAGATATGTGTAACAGAATCAGCTCCATCTGAAACTATTATCAGCACCTCTTAAAACCTTGTATCGGCGATAAGCAAATCTCGCTATTGCCAAAAGCGCCTTTTTAAGGCTTTTTGTTTTTAATGTACTTCATATACGAAATTCAAGTCCAGACCAATGCACATCGGCAGGTAAGAAACTTTTAAACTTACTCAATGCCATTAGCATGGATGTAGACAATTCATGAGCACATTTTATACCAGAGTTAGTTTTACTTCCAACCTGATCATTTCTTAGGAAAATAAGCGTTTCAAAATTGTTTTCGATCAACGCCCAATCAAAAATATATTTGTCTCTAAAAAAACAACCTTAACGTTTGGAGAGATTTTAGAAATTCGAATCAGCTTTGTCCCCCTTGGGGGGCAAAAGGGAAAAGACTGATTTGAAGATTTGAATTGATCTGAAAGATTTGGATTGATTCAAATCAGTTTGTTCCCCTTTGGGTTTAACTGTACACTACCATTTTTTTAACAGTTTTTAATGGTATTTGAAGTTAGCTTCACGCTTTGTTCGTAATTGAACAAGTTTTCTGGATCAAATTTTCTTTTAATTTTAATCAATCTATACCAATTGTGTCCCTAATAGGCAACTCCGTAATCGTCTAAATCACCATCACCATAATTAGCGTATGCATACGGACCCACGTAGGGTCTCATTTCATCATAAAAGTTTGTAATCCAACTTGTGCACGGGCCCTCGCCCTCATGCCTATGCCATCGAACCAGAAATTGCCCGCTGAAGAGCGCTTGCTGGTGATAAAATGCTGTATCACAAAGACGCATCCTGCTCATTGCACCGCCATACAATAACCTTGCTGCAAAGTTTGGGAACGTTAAAAGTTAATGATGTAACCACACCAAAGTTTCCCAGACCAGCACCTTTACAGGCCCAGAAAAGATCGTTATATTCGTTGTTATTGCTCGCTGTGACCGTAGAGCCATCTGCTAATACAATTTCTAATTCACACAGTAGATCACAGGTTAATCCATACTTTCTTGATAAAAACCCGATACCACCATCCAATGTTAAACCGCCAATTGAAACAGTTGGACAAGACCCACCTGGAAACATGTAATCTTGATCAACCAGTTCTTTGTAAACTTCGATCATATGATTACCTGATCCAAAGGTTGCTCTATTGATATCGCTGGAAACTATTCTTTGATTAAAAGAAATTTGACTCACCGCCGTAATTTCTCTGATCCAAACTGCGGGTTGGAAAACCGATGAAAACCACGGTTTTGAGAAGCCGCGTTTTGATCGAATCAAGTTACGGTGGTGCCACCGGCAAAAACCGCGGTTTCAAAGGGATGCAGTTTAGTGAGAATGAACCGCGGTATATGAAACGGTGCTTTCTTACGATTTTATATACCTCGGTAAACTCGATCTAAACGGCGGTCTGTGAATACCGCTCAGCGTGGCGGTTTCTTAAACCACGATGTTTACTTCGGTTTATCTTCACCACGCTTTTTAATGATTTCGAGACCGCGGTTTCCGTCAATAAAACTGCGGTTGGATGATGCGCGTTCTCCACCCCACTGGACAGTGCGGTTCGTAGCAGCAAACAAAAATACTAGAATCGCTTTTTTATCTGTTTTTTGTCGCCACGAAGATGTCGTATAAGGTGTGTCGCCAGGGATCCCAGATCTTCTGATTCTGACAGAAAATTTCTGATCTTTTGAACTTTTTCTTCCTAATTTCTGCTCTTTTTTTCTCAAAGGTCTATTGATTTTTCGAATTTGAACTTCTTTTCTCTGAGATCTTTCAGATTTTCTTGCTTTGGATCTGATATCCCTGGTCATCTCCCACATGTTTCTTACTTAAAACACTTAAATCGGTAAGATGTAACATCAGTTTTGATCATTGTATAAACAACCCGAGATGGCTCAGTGGAAACATGTTGGACAAGCAAATCAAAGGTAAGGAGTTCGAATCTCACACAACGACTATGAAAGATTGGTGATTTCAGGTAGGCTAACCGCAGTGTAATAGCAGCAACACCCGCGGTGTATGGATGCAGTGGTAAGAACAAGGACAACCGTGGTCAGAGCTATAGAAACAAATGTAGAATGAAGAAAGAGAGAGGACGGAAAACGAACAGGTATCGATAACATCAAGAAAATCATTTTTCTAAAAAACCGCTTGAAACCGGAGTATGAAAAACTGCGATTTCGGCCGGTGTGTAAAAACCTAATAAAGGGTCTGACTCCCGCGGTGTCTTTAAACCGGCAAAAGCCGCGGGTTTTTATACCACGGTTAACCGCGGTTTTATTCAAAAAATTTCTCCGTGGGATAGAGAAGGGCATTTTTCACATCTGAAGTGTTGGTGCGATATATTACAGCAAATGGATTCGGATCTCTGGATGTGTATATATTCCACACTGGACAACATTCATGATAGTTCGGACCGTCTCACATCACAGGACCCTGCCGACGTCGACAGATTGACTTCAATGTTCTCTGAGGCTTTGTGTTTCCGTACCAAAGTTTTCTAAGAGGATTTCCAGAAAACTGAGGGTGAAAAATGAAAAGTGTCGAGGATAGTTGTATGGGCAGAGTTATAGATCCTACTAAGTAGTTCCTATCCTGAAAAAATCTCGAAAAAAATTTTCGGAGCGTTCAGGAGAAAATCGAGGTTAAACTTTAGGATTTTTTCAAGTAAATTGAGTACCACTCGAATGTACAGTTAGATCGAGACCGAATTCCTTCACCATTCGAATCAGCTCGCCAAGAGCTACAATTTGATGTATAATTGTGCAATGTTTCGGTCATTTTCACCGACTTCGGTTTCACCGTCACCAAAAACTTGAGGTGTCTAGAAAACCATTTTCCACACGTTTTTTCAAAAAAGCGTAAGCAAGACCTTTAAGTTATTCTTGATGCTCTACACGACGGGCAAAGTGAAACTTTTACGGCTAATAGTGAATGTAATAGTGGACCGACCTGCGCGGATGGACCCAATGGTCCGTAAACGATACTGGTAATCTATCATTTTCTTATCTTAAAAAACGGTCTGAGTTAAAAGATGAGAAAGGAACGGAGCCGTAATTGACGGTTAAGTCTACCGCGTTTCATTAAAAATACGATAGTCGCTCTACTCCTTTCCTGTCTTATTAAATTATATCATGTAACCACATATAGTGACATCTATATCCTTCGGCTCTGAGAAATAACTGAAATATTGTTGAGTAGAAGAATCGAAGAGATATGTGTTATCTGTTTCAGAACATTTTCAGGGTTGAGATGTGAGAGGTATAAAAGAGTTTTGGATGACTATAGACCACCTAATTGGTTAATATGCATCATCAATTAATACCTTTGCATAGCCTAGAGCTCATGTCACACTTTGAAAGGTCTCATAGTTTGAAGAAAGAAAAAAGCAAATAAACATCATCTTGTAAAAATTTCAGAGTGAAAGATATTATCTGTCTTTTTTAGATTTCCCCCTTTTCGTAAGGATCTTTAGTGCACAGCGATTTCTAATCACTTTTCTTTTGGCTCTTATAGAATTTCTGAAGTCCTTTCGGTGTCTTTAGACAAATGACACACGGATATCAAAAAGCTTCTCAGAGGAATCTTATTACTATCTCTGTGAGACTCTAAGTAGGCAGCTATTCCTCAGTCAAAAATATGCAAAAGATGTTACAGATTTTATTTATTTACTGTATCACACAAGTGAAATTTCTGTATATGTAAAATTCGGATAAAAGTGTAAACAAAATTTTACTCCGTAAATTTTTTATTTAAAAATAAATGTTTCTCGACGATCCTATCGTTCTTTTATACAAGACTGAGTTCCATTTGAAAATGGAATTATTTTTCAATTTTGCTTTTGTTATACTTTTCATTAGGCTTTTAGCTACATCATGATAATATTGAATTTATTTCAGACTGAATATAAAGTTCGACAAGAATTTATCTAAACCATGCTGCAACAGGCGCGAACTATTGGATGGACGCTATTCGGTAGTGCTATTGCCTTGTTTATCTATATTGGTATGTTGCAATCATTTTTTTTCTGCAGGTTTAAACGTTTATTTTGTTTTCTATTAGGTTTAACGTACATGTTGACAAATCAAGGTTATCGTTTTGATATTGGATGGTTTTTATTGGCCATATCACCTTATCAATGGGCATTAACAGGAGTAGCATTAGCTATATCGTTATCAGTTAGTGGAGCAGCATTGTACGCAGTAACAAACTTTTGTTATAGCATATTTATTAGATAATAATGTTTTGTAATTTTATTCTAGGGGAATATTCGCTACTGGGGTTAGTATACTTGGTGGGGGAGTGAAAGCTCCTCGTATCCGTACGAAAAATTTGATTAGTATTATCATGTGTGAAGCTGTGGCCATTTATGGTCTCATTATGGGAATTGTTATTTCAAACTCAATATCTGTATGTAGGATGATCATTTAAAAGATGAATAATAGTCTTCCATTTTTTACGTTCACGTTTAGAATTATTCGACAAATGATGTAAATTTACTTGCACACAAGTATCGGGCTGGTAAGAAATCCGGACCCAAACTGTGTCTGTTTTAGAGAAAACTACCATTAAAATCTTTTTCTCTTAGGTTACAAACTATTTTCAGCTGGATTAACAGTTGGCTTATGTAATTTATTCTGCGGTATATGTGTTGGTTTAGTTGGTTCATCAGCTGCGTTAGCTGATGCTCAGAATTCATCGTTATTTGTTCGAATTTTAATTATTGAAATATTTGGAAGTGCCATTGGTCTATTTGGATTGATCGTATCTATTTTACAAGTGAGTGACCTTTGCGTTTTTTCGGGTAGAGAACAAAAGGCGAACTTTTATTGTTGGTTCTTTTTTGATGCAACGCTAGTAGGACAAGAGAGCATGTATTTTGATATTAAACTGTGACATTCTCTTCGTAGATACTTTAATGTCTATGAGACAATTGAATTTCTCTTTTTTAGTCAACTGGATCATATATGGGCGATTAAATGTCAAACAAATAAAGCTATTAGTATTTATTATTTTTAAATGTGCAATTATTCTCTACATGTGTGTTTTAGTTTTAAAAAGTATATACGTTCAAATCCTCAAACAGAAAGGTAGAAAACATATATTTATTTTTCTAATATCACATTCCGATCAAACAAAAAGTAGACAGACGTTTGAAAACATTGCTGTATGTACATCACACTCTCCTTTTATGTGAAACAGTGTTCTTTTGTGTTGTTGTACTTTTATTTTGTATCATATAAACTCCAAATATATACTTGTGCGTATGAAAATAAGTAGCATCGAAGTAAAGGAACAAAAAGTTTTTGATGATGATGTATGTACACATCCTAGTCTTATTACAAATTTTATATTGCGCATTCTTGATCGCAGAGAATTATACCTTGGCGTCTTTTGTTGCCTGGCAATTTAGAATAACTACTGACTGACTCTCTTGATACATGTGTAAGTTTGAGTCACTTTCATTTGAAATATACTTGCTTTTTTTAAACTGAAACTGGTTATGTACTATGCCTTTTTTTACATTTGCCTTACGTCTGTTTTGCTCGAAAGTAGAAAGTAGCTTGAAGCAATTTAATCAAATTGTGTGATAAAAAAGAGAACTCATTTTTTTTGTACATTTCACAGGTGAGAGAGATAGGTTTTGTAGTAGCTGTGAAGAAATTGAAAATTGTAAAGAAAATAACCTTCACCATGTATTCGTTACTCTTAAATGTATAGATTCTAGTGATGCACTACTATCGAGAACAAATATGATATATATAAAAATTTAGAATGTTACTAGATAGATTTTAAATAACTTTTGATAAATGAATAATAGGGAATCGAGGTTTTAACCATTTCAAATAGGATACTTGAAGACATCAACATGTAAAACGACACATGTTGGTGATGCAACTTGTCAGTTCAAAAAGAAGGTTCTCATGGGATATTCTTTTACACGCTGTATGTCTTTCAATGGCATCTTAGATTCTAAAGTACTGTTATACACCCTAGCAAACCAGAGGTCTCCATCTATTACGGTTCGGGCATAGACTGAGGTTTTCTATCAGCGTTAGAATTTAGGTATGAAAATTAGAAAAAAAATATAAACGTAGGCTATTGGTCATTCGGTATCCCGGGGTAATGATTGTTCTTATAAAGCTATGTTTTATGAAAATTAAGCATTTTTAGACCAATTTCATAGTGTTATAAACAATTTCACAATTTAATCAGAAACAATTGAAAACTTTAAATAAAATGAGGCAGATACCTTTTGTACGCATAGATCGCTGCAAAAAACTTTGAAAAAATCAAGAATTTTAGTTGATTTTTCAAAGATTCCACTAGCCAATCTCTAAACACAAAATTTTACTGTTTCAATGGCGCCATAATATAAAATAGACAAAACCAAGTGAATCCTGTAATTTTCACAACCATCTTTTTGTAGCAGTCTAAAAACTTTCAACTTGAAAAAAGCAATAATCATTTGTTTACACGACAATAATTACAGTAGACTCTTGTGAGAATAATGGTTCTCTTGAACTGCAAAATAAGAACTGTGACTAGAACATTTTCAAAAAAAGCAATTTCAAGGAAAATATCTCATAAACACGTAATACGGCTCAATGTAGTGCATAAAAGCCGACCGTATCGGTTACTCTACAACACTGTTGTTAATGAAAGTTTTGAGTTAAGTATACGTTCATCATTTACGTCTACCTTATGGCTAAAGTAGTTTTCTGTAGTAAAGTATTCCTTGCACACTCAAAGGATGAATTCATCAACCTAACTATGCACTAAATACCAATTTTAATAATGTAAAATTAAGCATGCCGATGTTGTAGGTATATCATTCTCTAACGGTTACTAAAAGAACAATTCGATATCTTGATGTAAAATTTCGAGCACCTAGCAATGATACAAATCATTATTGAACTAACGTTTGGTTGAATTTTGAATGAAATATGAATGTTTATTTTTGACTTGGAATGAGAATATTTCTCTCAAGATCGATCCATGTTCACTCGATTTTGCCACTTTGTTTAGATGACACTTCGGCCCATCTGTTTCAGAGGTGCACAATCTATCCGAGAGATAGGAAAAGAAGGGGGTCGCATAAGGTCGGGAATCGGCCCACCCTCTTTTTTGACTAAAAATGGATCCATATGTAGTAAAAAAAGTGCCTCTATTCCGTTTTCGATAAAATCAGATACTTTTGTCACGTAAAAACCGGTTAATT